AACTTGCCAATGCTGAACAGTTTGCAAGGAGTTTTTCCACTAATGTTCACATCTGATTCGGGAATCTGTGCTCATGACTATCACAATATATTGCTGTCCATCGAGATACACTTTCACAGCATTTCTCTCATTTCATGAGGAGAAAGTATTCTCTTGTCTATATGAAAACAGAAAGGAAAAAGAGAGAAATAGCCACAATTTAGAGGAACACTGTGGTCAAATGGAAGAGGAACACAGTCCAATGAGATCTGCAGTGACCTTGACAATTACTCCTGGGACAAACCTTGACAAAGAGTCTAGGAATAGTTTTCTTGAGTTAGCCATAAATTGGTTTCTAGGCACTATATTTTATAGGCCTTAAAATCAAACAGCATGAATTATTCAGAGATCTTACATACTTAGGGAAAAGCATTTTACATATTTAATCTTGGAATGCTCACTTGCCTTCTGACTTGTAAGTCACATAAAACAAAGGAACAAAACTTGCTAAGCATCTCTAACTCAGATAAAATAAATATAAAGCCAAATAAAACGTGAAAAGCAGGGGCTGGGAAGGTGGTTCAGTGGTAGAGCGCTTGCCTTGCATGCCTGAGGCCCTGGGTTCGATTCCTCACCACATAAGCAAAAAGAAAAAAGCCGCAAGGTGGTACTGTGGCTCAAGTGGTAGAACGCTAGCCTTGAGCTGAAGAGCTGAGGGACAGCGCCCAGGCCCAGAGTTCAGGCCCCATGACCGGATCCTCCCCCTCCCCACCCCCAAAAAAAAGGTGAAAAGCATGGGTTTTAAAAGAGACTCAGCAGGGCACGGGTGGCTCATGCCTGTAATCCTAGCTACTTAGAAGACTCAGAACTGAGGATTGCAGTTCAAAGCTAGCCCAGGCAGGAAAGTCTGTGAGACTCTTATCTACAATAAACCACTCAGAAAACTGGAAGTGGCACTGTGACTCAAGTGGTAGAGTACTAGCCTTGAGCTGAAGAGCTGAGGGACAGCGCCCAGGCCCAGAGTTCAAGCTCCATGACCAAAAAAAAAAAAAAAAAAAGAAAGAAAAAGAAAAAAAGAAAAAGAGCCTCATCTTACTACCCAGTAAGAAAGATCCTTGGTAACAAATTTAAATTATGGGCTGGGAAGGTAGCTCAGTGGTAGAGCGCTTGCCTTGCATGCATGAGGCCCTGGGTTCAATTCCTCAGCACCACATAAGTAGAAAAAAAAAAGCCAGAAGTAGCACTGTGGCTCAAGTGGTAGAGTGCTAGCCTTGAGCTGAAGAGCTGAGGGACAGCGCCCAGGGCCAGAGTTCAGGCCCCATGACCGGACCCCCCCCCCAAAAAAAACAAAAAAACAAATTTAAATTATTCAAAATGCAGATGATTCAATGAATTTCCCCCTATCTTCTATTTCTAAGACTTAAAGGGTCCATTGAATACTGAATCCATTGGATCCAAACATTATTTTATAGTTTAAAAGACTGACACCAAATGTAGGTTCTATAAATTTACAAAGAGGAGAAAGAAAAGGGTCACATACAAAGGATTAAGAAACCATAATGACTTTGACTTCTGAACAGTAACACTGAAAGCAGGTAAGAATGGAGCAGTAACTTCAAAACGCTGAAAGAAAATTACTTCCATTGTAATTAAATTACTAGCCAAAATATCAATCAAGCATGAGGAAACATACTCAGACAAGGAAAGGCTTTAAAAAAAAACACAACAAAACTGTAGCTCTTCTTGTAAAAATGCTAGAGTGAGAGTTAAGAGTTCCACTGGAGAATACATCACCAAACAACAATACAGGATACAAGAAAGATCTAACACAGGAGTTCTAAAGAGAACCCAACTGTGCCCCAGGAGGAGAGGATAGCCAGGCTGACGTGAAGTAGCACAACGCTAGTAGTTTTTCAACCTGAGGACAGAATGCTCTGGCGCCTTTCTATCCGCACTTGGATTGGCTGCCTTGAGCATAGCTGTTGTAGTTCTCACTCCCCTGGGAGCCCAGAGGCCTGCATCAGCAGAGGCCTTGCTCTTCCCTCGCAGCAGGTTCACTTTGACCAACCCTTTTAACCATGGCTGGGCAGGCTTGGCCGTAGGGAGCTAAAGAGCAGAAATTCAGAGTAAGTACTCCTCTTTCCCCCGGGTTCTGCTTGCCATTAAGTTGTCGTATGTCCTGGCTAAGGACTCCTCATCACACCATCACACAAAGAAACCTTTCTGTTCCACTTACCTTTTTCTGGAAGCCTTCATCTCCTAGTGACATATTATTTTTTGTCCTTTCATTTATACAGTCATGTTTGATTTTAAGATAATGTGACAAAAATATAACCCGAAATCTAGAAAGCAATTGCATTTGGACCTCATCTATGCTCAGAGGGATATGGTTTTGTTATCACGGTTTATTTAATGAGCAATCCACTATTGGATTAAGAAGGCAGCTTGGTGGGAGAGCACCTGCCTAGCATATACAAAATAAATAAAAAAGAAATTGAGAAGATATTGTAGGCACCGTGGCTCAAAGTGGTAGAGGATGGGCCTTAAGCAAAAAAAAAAAAAAAAAAAACTCAGGGACAGCATCCAGGCAGAGTTCAAGCCCATGACTGACCGAAAAAAAAAAAAAAAAGAATTTTTTGGAATTGGCCCTGTGGCTCAAGTGGTAGAGCATTATTCTTGAGGGAAAGAGCTCAAGGATAACACCCAAGCCCCAAGTTCAAGCCTCACAATGGAGGGGGAAAAAATAGGAGATATTGTAACTTTTGGGATCATCTAGTAGGAGTTACAATGCAGAAGTATTTTTGCTTTTGTCTTTTTATTTCCCTTTTGAAATAGTGTCTCACTATGGTAGTCCAGGTTGTACTCAAACTCATGATCCTCTTGCCTCAGCTCTCCAAGTTCTAGAATCACAGTGTGCATCACAAAAGTATATTTATGTGTTATACATATATTTTATAATAAATGAATTTTTAAAAAGAACATGCATTTCTGTCATGGTTGGGTATTCAAGATGATGGAATGTAGACAAATTACGAAGTTCTCATTTCCTCTTCCTATATGTATGTTTAAGAAACCTCTTTCTTCACTCCTGCCAAGCCAAAATAAGGCAACATAACCTTAAGGTCAGCACCACTCAGTGGTAACGAGGTCAATACATTTCCCATTATTTAACACAGCACTCAAATTTTTCTCTGATACAGTGTCTCTATATAAAAGGACCAATAGATTTTAAGAAATGCATCTAAATCACAAAACCAGGGCAGCTAACTGCTTTCAGTTTCAGCTTTCCTGAAATCAAGGCATATTTAAGATGCAATAATCTGTTTGTTTTTTAATCTCCCTGAAACATCCTTTGATGCCAGAAGGATTTTTCACACTAGGCTTTTTAGGATAAAACTTGGAAACAACCAAGATGTATATGAATAAGAGACCAGGGAAATAAAAAAAAACAACACAAATATTAGGGTACAACAAAACCATGCAGGTACTGACATGAAAATGTGTTCTTACGTCAATTGCCAAACAGGTAATTTTATTTTTTATATATCGCTTCATTATTTCACTGTTTTAGTTGATATCCTCTTTATACCTCAGTGTTATGGTTATCATTTACAAAGGCCAATACAGATAAAATACGAAAATTTTTACTTAGGTGCCTGTGGTTCAATCTGTAATCCTAGTGACTCAGGAGGCTGAGATCAAAGGATTAGATCCGTTTGGCAGGAAAGTCCATGAGACTCTTATCTCCAATAAACTAGCAAAAACCCGAAGTGGGGCGAGTGTGGGTGACTAGCTACTAAGGAGACTGAGATCTGAGTACTAAGGTTCCAAATCAGGAAAAGTCCGTGAGACTCTTATCTCCAATAAACTACTTAGAAAAAGCCAGAAGTGGTGCTGTGGCTTAAGTGGTGGCACGCTAGCCTTGTGCTTTTAAAGAAGGTCAAGGGCAGCGCCTAGGTCCTGAGTTCAAGCGTCAGGACTGGAGATTGCAGAGTTCTGCCAGCCCTAAACTCGCTTAGTTAAAATGTTTAATGTTGGTTTTACACGTGGGAAGCTTACAGAATGGAAAGACAGAGACTGAAGACTATACTAAGAGCTTTCTGAATTGCTAAGAAAAGGGATGCACAGCACAAGTACGAGACAGGGGGCGAACCGCTCCCAGAGATCCCAGGCTCTGAAAATCCCGATCAAGAGGATTACACGTGCATTTCTTGGGAAGCGAGCACTACCACGCCCCTTCCTTCCACCGAGGAGGCAGGACGGCTGGAGCTCCAGCTCCGCCAGGGCGCCGCTTCGGCGTGAAGGGGTCCCTCCCTGATTTACCTTTCAGGCGTAAGTTGCTCCTAATGGTCCACTCGCAAGTCAACCTACTGACGGCGGGGCTGGCTCTGATCACGCAGCGCGCTATGCATACAAGGACAGGTCAGATTGTAACCTCCCTGTACACCATTTGCGGATTGAAAGCAAAGTGAATAGCCTTACCGCAGCTACCACCGCCACAGTGACGAAGCTCAGCTACCTATCTAGCCGGACACCCGACACCTGGGATCCATTTCCCTAAAGTCCTGGGTCCCTCTCCCATTTCTCCTTCCCATCTCAGCGAGGGGCAGGCAGAAGGTCGCCCACAGCGAAGACGGATTCCTCGCCACGGTTCAGAGCAAACCCAAGAAGTGGAGAGCTGGAGGCGCCCGACACCGTGCGGGCCTCGGGGCGGGGGTGGGGCGGCCGCAGCGGCGGCCAGATCCCGCGGGTCGGTCACCCCGCCGGCCATCCCCCCGCGCGGGCCGGAAAGCTACCCGACGGGCCGGCGTCCGCGGCGGAGCGGCCGCCCGGCTGAGGGGGTCGCGGACGCGTGAGGGCCACGGCGGGTCCACGGGCAGCAGCGGGGGCCGGAGGAGGCCCAGCCCCGCAGGTCAGGCGGCACCGGGCACACCGGGCCAGGCGCTACCGCAGCACTTCCCCAGCGGGCAAGTATCCCGAAAAAGAACCTGGAACTCTAGGCAACTAAGATGGCGACTCACTTAGAGAGAAAGGACTGTTTTTCCTCAGGCACCTCAGGAGAGCGCGCAGAGAGGTAAAATCGGCGCCGCACCCAGGCCGGCGTCGACCCGCTCCACTTCAGCCGCGGAGCTCAGAGCAGCCGGCTAGAGCCAGGCGAGGATGCCGCTGGGGCGGGGCAACACGACGTGCTCACCACAGGAACCAATCGGCGCCCAGCAAGTGGCTCGATGGGGCGGGGCCTAGCTCCAAAGGGGCGGAGCTGGAAGCCAGGGGGCGGAGAAAGGGAGTTAGCAGGGCACTGCGCGTGTAGACCGTAACAGCCAATCGGAAGCAGCCAGTGGCCGGCCTGGGACCTGGGGGAGAAGGGGGGCGGGGTGAGGTTGAGGACTCAGCCAGCCTTCTGGAGCAGTGGTCCAGACTTAGCGCCTAATGGTTTGTGGCAGTGTAGACTAGGTTAGTGCTGGATCGTAAAAGAGGTGTCAGAAAACAACTCAACAAATTCTGACAGACTAGCTCAAAGCCCTTTGCTGGCTTGAAATTCGGCTAAATAAGTCTCTTTCTATAAAAGGAATTTGCTCTCCTAACATGCAGAATCTATACCATAGTTTTCATTTCATTAATCAAAAATATTTTTAAAGCCATTTATTTGGTCAGACAAAAGATATAGTTATTACTACCATTAGGTGCTTATACAACACTGGACTACTGAGTAATCATTAAATTAACTTTATTAACCTCTTTATTAATATAGACATTTATGCATGTGGTAGAACTGAGTAATTTGCTTATTTTCTCATTCATTGAAATATTCAATAGGAAACAAGTCTCATTACCCAATATTGAAAATTGTTTCACTGGTGTTTGTAGCAACGTAATTAGGCCTCTTATATCTAACTCGTTTTAAACAAAAATCATAATCATAGGTTTCTAACATGTTTTAAATCTGTAATTATTTTTAAAGCTGTATTTCCTGTCACAATTTTACAGAAATACATCACCATCACTTTTTAAAATCACATGTTAATATCCCCATTGTCTTAAATAGAAAGGCTCCAAATATCCTCTTGAAGATGTAGGTTTAGGGCTGGGAAGATGGCTCAGTGGTAGAGTGTGTGCCTTGCATGCCTGAGGCCCTGGGTTCCATTCCTCAGCACCACATAAGCAAAAAGAAAAAAGCCGGAAGTGGCACTGTGGCTCAAGTGGTAGAGCATTAGCCTTGAGCTGAAGAGCTGAGGGACAGTGCCCAGGCCCAGAGTTCAGGCCCCACAACCGGACCCCAAAAAAAAAAAAAAAGATGTAGGTTTATTTAACTATGACACACTTTTCAAAATAATGGGTCTAAAAAATCAGAATGTTTGGAATATTAGGCTTCTGAGTCGCATTTATCTCCTAGCACTCTGGAAACAAAATCACTTCTCCTTTTAAAGTGCCCCATTCTTTGGCAAAACCAACAATGTAGCCTCCCCTGTGGGGGGCCTCTCCCCAAAATATCCAGTCTCTGAAAGTGAACAAGACCCAACACGAAGCTCATGAATTATTAATTTCTGGTCAGTTGTCAAAGATGTAAACACACAAAAATCAGACAGCTTGCCCTAAGACTGCAAATCAGGTCCCTAAGACAAGAAGTAAGGATTTTTCACATTGCTAACAAAACCTTTCGGAGAGGTCTGTTTTCAGACACAGGGAGACCTAAGATAACTGTATAGAAACGGTATTTCAATCTATAATCAGAGAAATTCAAAGTGAATTTTTACATTTGCATTGAGCTTAAAGAATTTTGCCCCCTCTGGAAAGTGAGGAAAAATATATAAACCCTTTAAAGTGAATTCTCTAAATGACTATGTTGTATGAATGATTCTGTAGCCAATAAATCATGGAGTTAGGAAAAAGTACAACTTGGACGTTCAGTGTTTTCTTCATTTAGTACCTACAGGGACCACCTTTACCATAAGGAATAGTCAATCCTGATAGAGAAATTTCCTGATTTCAGTATTCCTCCATGTAGTGTGTGGCCCAAAAGTTTTGAGCTTTAGTAAGATCAAGAATTTACAAACATCAAACTTGTACAAAGCATGTGTCATCTGGAGGTGCAGTTGGCTAAATTTCACTATAACTTCAGTGTTTTGATGATACATACTTCGTATTTACTTGTTTGAAAATGGCAAGCAATGGCTGCTTTTATTAAAGCTTAAAACTATACTAAGCCTTATATAATACTCTGTATGATTCCTATGTGTGAGTCATAGTTCTTGACCATTCCACCCAGAGACTTCACATTTAAACCCTGGAATGGATTAAACCCTGGAATGGATTATTTCTTAAGTGGTTTCTCTTCTTTTCTGGATATATCCTCAGAGAAAAGCTGTCGAAGACTTCTCTGACTCCATTTCTTATAGTTTCCCCACACATCATCAGGGATACAATTATTTCATGAAAAGTAAAAAGACACAACATTCTCAAATTCTTGGGGCACAGCAATAACTTTCAGGCTCAATGGGGGAAGTCAGCACAACTGAAGGCAGTCTTGTGGCCATGAGCATCAAAATAGTCAGATTTTAATAAATTTCCAGAGATTCCACCAGTTTAAAACCCTTGCCTGGCTTCCAGTTGGTTTTCCTTCTCCTGGATTCTTGTCATTGGAGATTTTATCAGTGACTTCTTTTGTTTCTATAAAGGTCTCATACATCTTCTGGGCTCTGATAATTTCTTTCTGTGCATCAAAGTGGACTTTTTGCCTGGTAAGGATGGGAACTATTAAATTAAAATCATTGATTCGCTTGTTGAGCTTTCTGATGTTTTCTTGGAACTGCTCACAGACCTGCTTCCACTGCTGCTGTTCCATTGCTGTCATTGGATTCCCAAGCTTTTTCCTTGATACTAAAATTGCTTCTCTGAGTTTCTCAATGGTATCTGTTATTTCTTTTTGCATTAAGATCCACTCGGGTTGGTACCCATTATCTATCAATATTCTGTTCAAGTTGTGAGTCATGGGATCAATATATGAACAGCCAGAAAACTTTTTTAGGGGTTTTCCTTTCCCACTGAGATTGTCAAAATCTCCTTTTGCCATTGATTCTTGAATGAGGTCCTCCACTAAGCGCTCGATGGCTTGAGTGATCTTCTGTTCTCTACTGTGTCTTACATCGTGAACAGTTAAGCTACTAGTGAAATGCTGCCTTTGCAGTTTCTGCTTTCGATACTCCATCACTTGCTCAGCAGCACGGTCTGCCCTAAATTGCCTATACTGCTTCTCTCGTTGACTTGGGGTCCCAAAGCCAATACCTTCAAAACTTAAATAATGTCGGTGTTGGGGTGTATTGTATTTGAAATTTTCTTCCTCTTCTTCTGCTTCTTCAACTTTGTTCCGTCTGGCATTTGCTTCTTCAATCACATGGGAAAGCACATTCCTATAAGCTTCTTCAATCTTTATAAATGCTGCGGAATCAGCATTAGTAGAGCCGCTGTCTGGATGATATTGCTTGGCAAGCTGATGAAAAGATTCCCTGACGTCGTCTGCAGAGCAGCCTTCATTTAGATTCAGCAGCTTGTAATAGTCCCTGATTTCCTTTTTGGATTTATAGGTAGACATCATCCTGTTTCTAACGACACTAAGGTACGGTAGCATTTTCACTAGAGTAGGAATCAATGAAGCACTCGTCAAATGGAATCTTAAGACCTGAGCCATCATCACATGCATTGAGTTCTTTAGCATATCCAGAGTTCTTCCTAACGATCTATGAAACAACAAATGATATAGGTTAGCAAGGTTGCACTATTAGCAGAGTTGTATTTTCAGCTATAAAAAAGGAAGTCTTATAGGGGTTGGGAATGTGGCTTAGTGGTAGAGTGCTTGCCTAGCATGCATGAAGCCCTCAGCACCACATAAACAGAAAAAGCTGGAAGTAGCACTATGGCTCAAGTGGTAGAGCACTAGCCTTGAGCAAAAGAAGCTAAAGGACAGTGCCCAGGCCCTGAGTTCAAGCTCCAGGACTGGCAAAAAAAAAAAAAAAAAGGAGGGAGGGAAGTAGGGCCTGGCAGTAGTGGTGGGTAGCTCATGAGGAGGAGGCTCCTCAGGAGGCTGAGACCTGAGGATTGCTTTCAAAGCCAGCCTGGATAGGGAAGTCCATGAAATTCCTTCTTTTTTTTTTTTTTTTTTTGGTCGGTCGTGGGGCTTGAACTCTGGGCTTGGGCGCTGTCCCTCAGCTCTTCAGATCAAGACTAGTGCACTACCGCTTGAGCCACAGCGCCACTTCCAGTTTTCTAGTGGTTTGTATTGGAGATGAGTCTCATGGACTTTCTTACCGGGGCTGGCTTTGAACCATGATCCTCAGATCTTGGCCTGAGCTAGGATTACAGGCATGAGCCACCGGCGCCCGGCCCATGAAATTCTTATTTCCAATTACTGTGGCTCAAGTAGTAGAGAAATAGCAAAAAAAAAAAGCTCAGGTATAGTGCCCAGGCTCTGAGTTCAGGCCAAGAACTAGCACAAAAAACAAACAAACAAAAAAGTAGGGTATGAAGTTTCAAATACAATATGGGACAGTTCGGTCTACTGCTGCTATCACAATTTTTCTAGCTATATTTTACTGTAGCTGGAGAATGAATGTTGATAATGGTCAGCATCAATACATTGTGACTTAATCTGGATTCTACTTACTGACCACAGAATTTTAGAGCTTCAAAGTTCTTAGAAATTACCAAATCAAATCATATCATTATATGAGAAAACATAGGTCTAATTAGGGTTAATCAACTTAGTCAAGCCTCATAATAGGTTATAAGCAAAATATTTAGGATATAATACAGAGGTTTGCTTAATTTTATCCTCAGCAGGCTATACATTTAATCAGCACCAATTTTAAGTGTACCTTGTCATATTTTCGAGAATTTTCTCACAACAAGACTTACTATACATGAAACAGAGAACATTAGAAAGAATGTTTGTACTTGGTACTAGATTGAAATAGTATCCAAAACAGTTTTTAGGAAGGAGCTATGTGCTAGGTGCAAGGAAAACCAAAACGAAAGGTTAGCAAACTCCCCACCCCAACCCCAAATGCTCACTGGTATATTAAAGATGCTTGGTGCAATAGTGGAGAAAGACTTGTACACGGACAATGACGATGA